TTAAAAAATCAATTTATTTACTTGAAATGGATGGGTACAAAAATAAATAGTAATGTGGTCAATGTTATGCATTAAAACAAGAAGGGTGATGCACATGGCAAAAAAGTACAAATTAGGCGTATCTATGATTTTCCCTTGTTTTAACATGACATCATAGGTATAAAATATGTGAAAAAATGGCAAAAAGGGCTATGCACGAAACAAATTATTAAGAAATGATAGGATGCACTTAAATGGCCAAAGGGAAACTATCTTCTAATCCACATTAGAAAGGAGTATTGAAAAGAATAGTCCTTGAGGGCTTCCCGATCTATTCAAACCAAGGACCTTGACCGAGAGGGAGAGAGAGAAATGGGTCATGTCTCATTCATGGAAATCTCAGCATTTCTCCATTAGGGTCCTTAAAGTAAGGGGCATTGACCCTGAAAACTTGTTCAACAATTGTATATAAATTAAACAACAATGGTAGAGAGGGAAGGGAGAAAATGGCTTTCAATTTGGATCTCAAAGTTTGTCCCTCGGTGTCCTTGGAATTCGGAACTGACCCTGAATAGGTTCTATTACTCACAAGAATATATGATATTTTTTTAATAAGTTAAAATTAGGGAATTAGATGTGATGTAATTTTATATGGAATTGTTATTTTTATTTAAAATTGATGTACTCTAGATAATATTATTTTGTTAGCTGTTCAATATGTATCTTGTATATGTATTATGTTTTTTTTTTTTTCAATTATTTTTAGCTTTTTTTTGTTAAAGCAAGTGATTTTCAGCGAATTACTACTAATGAAGTCTTTTTTTTTCCCTCAAAAAGATAGATAAGTTTTTTTTTTTGCTAAAGCAAGTGATTTTCAGCAAATTACCACCCCCTATAAGTTTATTTGAGGACATAGATAATTCACAATCAGAACTAATTATATTGAATCAATGTCTTATCAATGATTGGCCCTAACAAAATCCCAAAAAAAAATCCTTTTCTTGGTCATTATAGTTGATAAGTGTGCTCTCCTTTAACAGATGATTCAATTGGTTTTCACAAAGCTTTCACCATTTAAAGATCCAAAAACATACCATGATCTATAAGCTCACGAACTATTAACGGTCTGATACCAACAGCATAAAGGGTCGGTTGGACGGTGATGAAGGGAGAATGGATCCTCTCAACAGACGGTTAATTTAGATGCGAGGAACCGCCTTACTCGATTACCATCAAGGGATTGCAAAGGATCAAGAGCTATGACCCAATTTTATTACGATAAATATTTTATATTTCCCCAATTGTATAACGGTTATATATTTCTTGATATCCAGTTGTCTGATCTGAATAGACGACTGAGATGGATCCAATAACAATCTCACGCATCTACACTGTTTTATTTTAATTTTTTTCTACAAGACATTTGACACCAAATTTTGGGTATCCACTCCTCTCTTAAACTCACACCTGTAAAAAATATAAAAAATTATTCTCAAAAAATAAAATGATCAAAATAACCCTGGAAGTTTCAAGGGCATTTTGATCATTTTATTTTATCTGAAATACTTTTTAATATGTTTTTAGATGCATGCCATTGATACGATGGTACATACCAAATTTTATATTCAGATTGATTTGTAAAAAAAATACTAAAAATAAAATACTTTGAGGTATCGGATCTAGATTAAGCAATCAATGGTTTACTTGATCCAAATTAGACGGTTGGATTGGGAGAAGCATATAAACCATAGAGTAAAGGAAGTATATAAAGCTTTCTCTTTTATAATTTTATATACCTACAAGCATAATGGACTAAAAAGTCCTCAAAAGTTCGGGCTTAGGGTTTATATAAGTCCCCAAGGAAGTTCCAATATTTGAATTTCAAATACATGGGGATTTGGACGCTAGGTTTTAACCCTTGAATTAAGAAGGGAAAGAATCATTTAAAGGTTTTAACTTTTTTTTTTTTTTTTGACAAATATTATGATCTTATATTAAAGCAATGCAACTTTTTTACCTCTTTTTGCCCTTATTTTGTAAAACAAATCCTATCCCTTCATTATTCTCTCTTCACAATTAATAAAGTTAACCTTTTATAAAATCATAGGGAGCAAAACATCTCAATTAACTCAATTACTAATAGAAGATCTTTTTTCAATTTTCATTTCATTCAAGTATCTCTTAAAAATGCTCAAATTAACCATGTTCAGTGTTGAGAATTATGAATAAGTATTGAAATTTTAGTAATTAGATACACCTTGAAGGGCCGAATTGAATAATGACAATATCCCAACTTGTTCAGGGTTTGTCAAATTATAAAAGAATGAAGTTTCCAAAATGTCAAGCTTTATGAAACAAAATAAAGCCTTACCTCAAATCCTTGTTCGAAAAATACTTTCGGCCATGAAAATCTTCATGATGGCTTTAAAATCAATTTCCAGCACCTATATTAAATTTTAGAACTTAGAAAATGATATAGATCTTGCATATTTTTTAAGACTTATTTTTAAGACAAAATGCTAGATAGTTTATTACAAAATGCACTTTTTAAAATCTTAAAATTCTAATTTTTTTTTCACAACCATAATGTTCAAGCTGAAATGATCGATATAAAGGTTTTTCAATGCTTGAATTGTAATTTTCTACGAGTTATAAGATGAGGTTTTAATTATTTTGAAACCATTTTCCACTATTGAAAAGCTTTACTCGAGTTACCAATTTCAAATTTCGAAGGCAATTTAGATATTTTTTTGAAAATAAGCATGTAGAAAGATGAAAAAAAAAAAAGAAAAGTAAATTAGGTTCCCAACTTCAAAGACAATTTAGATATTTTGAAAATGTGGAGTGAAATAAAAATCAAGCCACAACGGAGTCCGGAAATGACTTTTCCCTCATAATTTAACACCAATAATCTGTGTACACCATCCCAAATTTGGTGAAATTTAGAAAAATCTCCGGGGGCGGTATGTATAGTACCTAGGCTCTAAACAATCAAATTAGAGTCTACTTTCAAATAGTGTCGAAATATGAGGTTTCAATATTGGAAATATTTATGATAGCCTTAAGATATATTTTTATTTTTATTGATAAAGTTTAAAACTTAAAAAATAGTGTAGATCGATAGATCTATGAAAACTTAAAAATCTTGAATATTTACGGTCCAAAAATTTGTTAAAAAATATACTATTTTCAAAAATTGAAATGCTTTTTTTTTCCATATCTATATATCTTGATATCGAGATGATCAATTTGAAGATATTTAAGCATAAAAAATAACTTTCTTCTAGTGAAATTTTTGAGGCACGTCTAAATTTGGTTGTTTAGTGTTTCGGCTCTTTATAAACTTTTTCCTTTTTTTTATAAAACGAAATTCTCTTAAATGTAAGTGCAAATAAAAAAGATCAAAGTCCGAGGGGGTGGGGTCCACATGCCTTGTCCTCTCCTCCCCCGCTCCCGTGACTCAGCAGCTAGTTTTATGAAACCTGATGATGTGGAATACATTGTAAACGTGGATGAACGAGATTTATCCACGTGGAAGAGCCTAGGATCCCTTCTCCTCACTCTTATTTCAAGCGTCAAATAAAAATTTAAAATTAAAATAAATTTCATTTTTTCCTATTTTCCTAGGTAAATATCCGCCACAAAATCCAAGCAAGATCTTATACGGACTGCCACGTATAACCGTATCTTGCACCGTATAATTGACTGAATGATTAGTTTTATCCTTTACTTTTTTAGAAATGACGAAAAGCCCCTTGTCTCAGCAAAATGACTGTCTGGCCCTCCATTCATGAGAAAGATGACGGAAGATGTCCGAAATTTAAGGGGTACGGACGGGGTAAATTTAGTCAGATAATAGTAGGATGCCCACCTTTCTTGGAAATGTCCGAATCATCCAATGGTTTAATTAGAAGGCTTTTTTTTCTCTTACAGATTACCATCATGCCCCCTGAAAAAAGTTTTTTTTTTTCTCTTACAGATTACCATCATGCCCCTGAAAAAAGTTTGACCTACGTTTCTTTTCATTTTCAAAGGCATGTTTGATAATAGGGAGCATTTAGAAGTGGAAGACGAACATCCCACTTGCTTAATAACACTGCATGGAAGCCACAAAATGGAATTATGATATTTTACGGGGATGAATTTTCAATGTTGAAATCTACGAGTTTTTGGAAGCTGTCTCTTCCATCAAAATAAATGGAAAAGGCATCTCACGTACTTCATGGGAGAGGGTGTCCCACTCACCACAAAGTTTAGTAGTCAAACACATTCTAACGGGTGTACATTATAGTCCTAGAAGTGTGTTTGTTTTGGTTGATTTTTGAGTAGTGAGAGATTCATGTTCCATCAAAACAACTCCCATGTTTGTTGCTCGCTTGAAATCTGCAAAATACATGCATGATGTTCTACGGGTTTGCAAGAAAAATGTGACATGGGGTAATGGAAGCTAACCCTTTAATTCCAAATTGTGGAAGTGGCCATAATCAAACACCTCCCTAAGGAAATGGGTTTGGGTCATGATGGTACCATCTCTTATCCTAATCGTTATGTTGGTTTTCATTCCCACCATTAATATTATCCCATTAACAAAACAAAAAAAAAAAACTCTAAAACTATGCAAAATTTATAGTCCCTGAAATCATTACCATTCAAATGAGCAATGGAGGGTGAAGGGGAGATAATAGAACCTATCAAAAGTGATTAATCTCAAATTCAATTCCTACCACTAAACTACAATAAAAAGAAAAAAAAAAAAAAAAAAACAAAAGAAAAAAAGAAAAAAAGACAGGCTAGGACCACGTAACCAGTCACTCTCTTACATCGCCATCAATTGTTTGATAGGAAAGCGATGTTTCTAAGGACTAAGGTTCCAATATTCCTTGACGTTATGTAACACTTAAATCGGAAGTGCGAAGTAGTGAACTTTTTATAGGTCATTTTTGAAAAGACAAGGGCTATTATCGTCATTTTGAGCATATAAAAGGTACCTGCAAGTAAGCGTATGTAGCCGTATACTCCACACTTTCTCTATCAGCCAGATCCAGTGCTCTCTCTCTCTAATGGCTGCCGCGATTTACAGGCACTGATGAGAGAGACGAGCCGGAAACTTGTTCCGGCCAAAATTTCCGGCCAAAAAGCGAACCCATCACAAGCCTTAGATCTTCAAGAGACCAAGAGAACCCATGGCCGGAAAAAGCTAAAGGGCGCCTTTACAGGCCAAAGGTTACGGCTAAGAAGTGATTTTCCGGTGGCCGGAAAACGAACTAGTCCGGCGACCCCATTGCTGAGATGGAAACTGGAAGATGGGCTTGGCCACAGTGGGGCTTTGCCGGATTCTGGAGAGGCTAATGGAGAAAAGCTGCAGAGCAACAATGGGGGGGGAAGCAAACTGGGAAGTGGGGTTTCGGCTAGGCAGCTTGCTGCTGGGTTATGGAGGCTTAAATCACCGGAAAATGAGGCTTCTTGCAAGTTTTTCCGGCAAATGGCCTCCCCACGCTTTGATTGTAGCCATTCTCAGAGGCGAAGTGTTCAGGTATTTATTTGATCAGAAATCCGGAGCTTCCATTTTATTTTTGGGTTCAGTTTTCTATGTGTGGTTTCGCATTTTCCTCCTCTATTTTTTTCTGAATGTTGGGAGATTTTTTCTGTTGTATGTTTGCACTGAAGATCTGTTAGTTACTGTTGTTCGTTGAGCGTGCATTTGAACAAGTAAACTTGATATTTGTTTTTTTGTTGTTAAGATTACTGTTTATTGTATTATGAGAAGTTAATGGTGATTATTACATTTGTCTATTTTTGTTGCTTTTGTTCAATGTTATTCAATCCTCTCTGATTTAATATTATCATGAAAATTGTGACAAATTTTGAATTAGTAGAATGACCTGAACCACCCACTTGAATCTGCATCATAATATCCCATTCCCCTTTATGTGATCTCTTATTCAAGTAGATAAAATCTGGTGCTTGATCTGTTCACCCAATACTTTAGGACGTTCAAAATCATGAACTCTTTATTCACTAGATTTAGAGTAGGAGTAAAAATGAACTTTACCCTAATATCTTCTTTCTTTTGATAAGCTTAGGACATTTTGAAATAGGAAGTGGTAGATTTTGGGTTTTTGAAGTTAGTAGGTTTGGGGTAAACTTTTGGAGAACCTTCCAAGCAATAAAGAGAAAAGATTTGTTGCTTTGTAGTCAGTACTCATATTATGAGAATGGCAATTCACTTTCAGTAATTTTCTGATGCAGCCTTTGATGGCTAGCGGGGCGGGCTCGTGTCTGTCGAAGCATGATGCTTCAAAGTGTGCCATTGATTTGAAGGATGATTTGCAGAGCCATCTTTCATTCCCCCTTCTCTCTAATGGTGTTTGCTATAAGGTACACAAAATCCATTTCTCAATAATTTTGCTGTAATTTAATATCCTCTTTGTACTGGGTATTTTACTGTCTCTTTTATGTGGGCTGTTTTGATTAACAAAATAATCATGGTTATCTGTTTCGAATAACAAAATAATCACTGTTTTCCCACTACAAACTTCATCTTTCAATCCTCTGATTTCCCACAGAGACACCTGCCAGCACCGTCTTAAAGTCACTGCCTCTTGTTTCCCCTGTCGATCATTTGTTGTTCCTTATGGTTGAAGGTGTGGGTTGATTGTCCTTGGCTGTTATAATTGCTTGTTATTTGCTAATTTCAAGAAAAAACAACACGCCCAGCTTTATCAACCTCCTCACTTTTTATTTGTTTAGTGTCTCCTTAAGTTCTCATGGTCTTCATAAACTGATGTTTTCCTTCGTTCTTTAAGAATTCTTGGTTCTTTACGATTCATTATGTACATTTATCTAATCATACAAGCTCTTCCCTTATTCATCTTGCTTAGCTCGAACCAGCTATCACATACTCCAACTCTGCCATGGAGAGGGCAACAAAATGGGACCATGAATGCCCCAAAACTTCAGATGAAGTGTATAGATTCTACACAAATCTGAACTTTATGGAAGATCATAGGGATACTCCCATTTCGGCCTTATCCACTTTGCAATTGGAGCTAGAACATGCTCGTACTCGCATACACGAGCTAGAGACTGAATGCCAATCCTCAAAGAAGAAATTTGATCATTTCCTCAAGAAACTCACAGAGGAGAGGGCCTCATGGCGTCGAAGAGAGCACGAGAAGATAAGGGCGGTTATAGATTCTGCTAAGGATGAGTTTAGCCGAGAGAAAAAACAAAGGCAACGGATGGAAATTGTGAACACCAAGCTCTTGACTGAGCTCTCAGAGGTGAAGTTATCGGCAAAAAAGTTTATGCAAGACTATGAGAAGGAGAGAAAGGCTCGTGAACTAATGGAAGAGGTTTGTGATGAATTGGCAAAAGAGATTGGCGAAGACAAAGCTGAAGTAGAGGCTCTTAAGAGGGAGTCTATGAAGATTAGGGAAGAAGTGGAGGAAGAAAGGAAGATGTTACAGATGGCTGAGGTTTGGCGTGAGGAGAGGGTCCAAATGAAGTTGGTTGACGCCAAGTTGGTCTTAGAGGAAAAATACTCCCAACTGAACAAACTCCAGTCAGATTTAGAGGCATTTCTGAGCTTCAAGAGCACTGGTAGTTTAGCTGTGGTACGAGAAGCCGAGCTCCTCAAAGATGCTGCTAGCTCTGTGAACATTCAAGACATAAAGGAATTCTCTTATCAACCCCCCACTTCTGATGATCTAATCTCCGCTTTGGAAGACCTCCACTCTGGTTCTGGTAATGAGAAAGACATTGAGGCATGCTTAGGGTTTGAACCCACTATGGGTATTTATAGTCCTGCAAGCCGAACATCGAAAGTTCATACTGTGAGCCCTGAAAACAATGCCAAAAATCAAAGGGAGGAAGATGAAAATAGCGGGTGGGAATCAGTTAGTCATGTAGATGAGGAGCAAGGATCAAGTAACTCATTGGAGGGGAGTGACCCATCTGTTAATGGTTGCCATGAAGAGACCAGTGTGTCAGGTAGTGGAACTGAGTGGGAAGAGAATGGAGATATGGATATGGCAGTTACTTATTCTTTGACAAGAGGACAATCTAGAAAGAAGCCATCTTTTACGAGGCTATGGAGATCATGTCCTAATAATGGAGAAATTTGTAAAACTGTGTCTGTCGAGGTTTCGAACGGGAGATTGTCTACCAATAACAAAATTGATTCTCCCGATAGGGTTTCGGGGGATGGGTGCTTGAGCCCTCCGAGCTTGGGGAATTGGAGCTCACCTGATGCAGGAAACCCCCATATAGCGAGGGGGATGAAGGGTTGCATTGAGTGGCCTCGTGCCATACAAAAGAACAGCTTGAAAGCAAAGCTTTTAGAGGCGAGGACAGAGAGCCAGAAGATTCAGCTGCGCCATGCCCTCAAACAGAAGATCTGACACCATCTTTTGACTTGTGTCAAGAGCCCAACTTTTGAATTGTATCGACTTGGAAAATGTTTGATAAGAGAGGCCATTTCAAGGGAAATTTTGGGTTATTTGGGCAGTCTGGTCACAAAATCTATGAATCCTTGGGAAAAGGTTATTGTATTCTCAGAAAAGGTCTTAAAATTTGTTGAAGCTGAAATGGTTTTCTGCCATTTTGACTTACTATGTTCCTGTTACTTTCATTCTTAAGTGATGGGCATTAATAGGCCTCTTCCAGTCTCTTGTTATCCTTTCACGAATTTTGTAGAAATGAGTTTACCTTGAGGTGGTGAGGACTATATCTCTGATTACTGCTTCTCCTCAGGTACCATGTTCTGCTTTTTATTGTATTATGATGAATTAAATTTCAGCTATCATAAAAATCCTTCCATTGTTTATTCTGTTGGCTTCAACATTTGCTTTTATCTTTTCCTTTGTTTTAAACAGTGTTTCTCTCCCTTTTCTAACCTAGCCTTGATTTTCTACTGTGCTATAATGAAATTATTATTATTATTTTATGTTGTTAAGTGTAACTGTGCTATAATGAATTAGTGTTTTATTTCTTTGCTTAATGAAATATTTAAAAGCTCTTTCATTGATGTTTTACTGAATAGATGCTTTTAGTATGCTTTTTGGATGAGAGATATAATAGCATGTGCATTACAGAAGGAATGAGGTTGCATTAACTGCTACTGAAACCACTTGGGTTCTTTACTTCCTGACCTGATCAGGGTGCAGTAAGATGTTGGGAGAAGGGGAACCGTGACTTTGGAAACGTGTTAACTTCAAGTAGCTGCATAAATACATTCTACTGGACATTGTGATACACCCAGAGCAAGCATTTACTCTACATGTGTTTATATTTCCTGTTCTTCTCTTTCCAATAATTGCTCTCCTTGTGTTTGGCATCTTTTTCTATTTTTTGGTGAAATTTTTGCTTATATCAAAATAATACTCGGTTTTTTTTTTTGTCTCCCCATATTTTATATTTTGTGCTCTTGTCCTTTAAATTTGTTTTTTGTTTTTTGTTTTTTGCCCCAAAAATCGCCGTTTGGAACTCCCAAGATTCGAATTGAGGTTTTTTTCCCTTTTATTGAGAGTTTGGTTTCGAATTGATTTTTCAGTAAACCTAACAATTTAGAACTTCAAGTTCTGAACTACTCTTCACTCTAAAAATGGACAAGTTCGGAACACCAAGTTCTGAACCAGCACACTTCTCTTTCTTGCTTTTTTTCAAATTTGCATTTGTAATCTCTTCATCTCTGTATGATGATCCCTAAGAGTGTGATGAGATTGTGTCTATGGTAAGTTACTAAGGATATGTTTGATGATGGGGATTGGATTTTTGGGACATTGTTTTCTGAAAGTTCTTTTTTCTGGAATTTATTTTCTGGCCAATTTGGCATTCTGCGGTGAATTCGTTTCTTGTCTGACAAAACCGGAAGAACAGGGGCCTTAGGAGTTAGGCGAGTAGTTGGGTTTAACCATTTAATATTCGTTGATTAGATATTGATAGTTCCTTAATAAAGGAGAGTTTATTTTATTTCATAATCTATGTATAATAGGAATTGCAAAATGGAAAATGCAGACCATAAGTTTCTGGTCTATTGTAAATTCACAAATTCTTACAATTGATAAAATCTTTATATCAAAGTGATTAACTATTTTATCATGATTAACTCTCCCTCTTTCTCTCTGTCACTTTCTCTTACCTGATGAGTATTTGCAATGGTTTTGTTAAAATTGTGATGCAAATTTGGTTTGCTTCAATGCCCTAGCCACAGGCCTTAAGGGAAGGAAGAGTAGAGAACGAACGAAAGATCACAGAGATAGAGGAAATCACTTCCAAAATTTTAGTAATTCAAGGTTTATATGAAATAATAATTGATCTCTTCTAAACCCTACCAAGTATTTTGAATAAGGACGTGGTTGGAATGTGGCCAAGCCCGCACATGTAGATATACGGGTTTGGCAATAAATATATTTTTTAAATATAAGTTGATCTTAATGTTTAGAGAACATATGACCTTTAACATGGAGATCATGAATTTTAAAAATAAATAAATTTTAGAAATTAAAATAATAATTATATTAAAAAAACATTTGGACCGTTCATTAGAATTATTTTTAGATGGGCCACCTAATTGTAAAATGGATTTTTTATATCTCTGGACTGGATATTGTACAAATGCGGTCCAACTCACATGTTTTTTAAATAATTCAAAACTCTATAAAGCTCGTATAAAATCCTAGTCATCCATTTTATTCAAGTTCTAACCATCCATTATTAATTTAAAAAAAAAAAATTATCCTTTCCCTAATATAATAAAAAATAACAATTGAAAAAAAAAAACAAAAACCTAAAATAATTTCCTCTAATTACAATATTAACCCCTTGTGCACCATGAACAAATAGTTGTGGTTGGGGTGTTGCTGAGTTATTACCCCCTGGTAGAAAAGGAACTCGATTTTGATGAATTGTCATCAACAAAGAGGCAGTATAATTTGGAGCTTGTCTTCTGAATGCATGCTCGGAGATCCACGTATTATCTAAATATGACATTGTATGGCCTCCCCTTCCATTTCACTAGATATTAACAATATGAACCCTCTCATATTTGAAAACTTTTAGTCTTTAAGACTTACTTGGTTCTTCCTTTTTTTTTCGATAATTGCTTGTTTATATCTATAACTACTCTTGAGCTTCTATAGGGTCTTTAGAAAAGTCAAATAAATCAACAACGTTAAATATTGGAGAGAGATCCAATGTCTTTGATAATTCCACCTTGCATCATTATTCCCACATTTTTTCAAAATTTGGTCGGTGGTCAGGCCTTGATCTCCTCTCTCGGCCAAGGACCCGGTTCGGGTTCTGGCCTGAGATCGCTATCTCAAAAAGCTGCACGTGTGGACGAGTCTGTGCATGTGTGCAGATAGGTACTAACGGTGAGGGAGATTTTCATCCGTGCCAAGAATGCTCGGGTAGGTCAAAAGACGAGGAGAAAGAAGAAAAGAGAAAAAGATATGAAGAAGGAAGATGATCACTCTTCAATTTTGCAGCCTTTCGGAGTCACCTCCCTCAGGAGGCTTTTCTAGTTAACCCAAAAAAGGTATAGGCATTAGCCTAATACCCCAGAGGCATGAAAAAGACACAAAAAGGGGTGAGGAGAGATAGGGGAAAGAAGGGGCGCTAGGCGGCCTAGTCCCCTGGCTCTCTGAAGGTAAGAGAGAGAGAGAGGGCGGGGCGGGGCGGGCTGGGGCGGGGAGAGAAGAAAAGAGAGAAAAGGGGAGTTGGGCAGTTGAGCCCCTTAGCTCTCAGGGGGTAAGAGAGAGAGAGGAGAGAAGAAAAGAGAGAGAAAGGGAGGCAGCTGGATGGCCTAGCCATCAGGCTCTCCAAAAAAGGGGAGGAGAGAGAGAAATAGAAAAAAGAAGAGAGGGAGAAGGGAGCTGGGTGGCCCAACCACCTTGCTCTCGGGGGGAAGAGAGAAAAAGAGATAAACAGATGGAAAGGAGAGTGAGAGAAGAGAGAGAAAGAGCAGAGAGATGGATTGAGCACTTAGGGTGTGAGGTGATGACTCGAACAGCAACGGCTAGGCGTGCTCCCAACGTTTCCCTAGAGTGCTCTTTGAGAAGCGGTCTTCGGGTCAAGGGTTAGGGTGTGTGGAGCATGATGAGTGTAGACTAGGATAGTCTAGATAGGACTATGATGTATGGTGTGGGTATAGCGTGTGGTGTATGTGTTGTGATAGTCTAACGAGTGTGGGAGAGTATAGTTTATAGTGGTCTAGGGGATATGGTGGAGTTTGGGTTATGGTAGACTAGAGAGTATGGGGGAGCATAGTCTATAATGGCATAGGGAGTATGGTGGAGTATCGGTTATGGTAGTTTAGAGAGTATGGCTGTAGGGAGTAAGAGGTCTAGAAGTGTAGGGTATGGAAGTGGGGAGCTTTGAGGGCAAACCTCATAGAAGAAAAATATTATATCTCCTCTCTCTCGAAGCAAGACAGATGCATAAGCTTACTAATATGTCAAAAGACAACATAATTACTAAAAAAAAGGATTAAAATGAATAGAATAATTAATATCATTTTGGGGCACAATGATCATTTTGCCCTTGGTCAGAATCTTGGAAATGACAAAACCATCCATCAAAAAGGGACATCTTGCTATAGCGATTCCTTGAGGCATTTTTTGGTGCTTTATGGCGACATTCTAAGCGATCTAAGATATTTGTCTCGAGACGATTGATTTGATATTTATTTTGAAGCTTGAATTGAACTTTTTGGTCATAACCCAAAATCTGGTCAAGTCCATAAGCTTGAGAACTTTGATAATTTATGCAGCATGATTCCCTTATTTCTAGTCATTCTCTTTATCATGAATCAAAGGAGAAGTTGTAATCGTTTTGTTACGAAAACCCCCTTGATTTGAGTGCCGATTGATCATTTTCACATTTTTGGAGGTCGTCGCATTCTTTTGAGCTTTAATAAGATGGCTTCCCAACTTCCATTTCTAGCAAAATGAAGCCCTTTGAGTCACGATCGCAACGAACCTAGCTTTGATGTTGTAGGAGTCCAAAATATTGAGATACAGCTACTGGAGCGACGGCATACGCTACAATTTCATGCTTTCTGATGATCTTCTTTATAAGATTTCTCCTTGTCCGTGGGTCCCCATGGTGAGAGGAACAAGTCGAATTTGGGATCAATCCGCTTCAAGACGAGAGAGAACCAGGCTTCACAAGTTGACCCTTTTTTAAAAAACATAGTTACCATAAATAGTAATTGGTTGAATTGGGTTAAAGTGAATAATAAAAATAAGTACGACCTACGAAGGTCAGATTGAACTAAAATTTGGCAAGGTGGTTATTCTAGGCCGTTTGAATCCATGAACAGGGGTTTCATGGTTACTAGAGGTATCTAGAGTATAGTTCTAACTATTGTGTATCATAGCCATGCTAGTGGCTTGAGCCAAAAACTGATTTTGTACTTGCTTCTTTTATTCACGTTCGAATTGGATGAAACTTGGAGGGCATCCTTAGATCATCTTAGGAGACTCATGTGCTTGATTTGGGGCTGAGATGACATCTCTATCATGGTTCTTCAAAATAAGACTTATTTGTGTGGGGCTTCCGTAGTCCATATGCATGACTGGCACCTACAGATCTGAGTTGCTATCACCTCCTCTATTATTCGTATTGGATAATTAGTGCGTAAAAAAAATACGCACTAATAGTCGGGGTTCATATTATTGGATTTGAGCTTATTGTTGGGCCCCAATAGAAGCCTCTTCTTTCGCAAGTACACCGGTACTAAGTCACTTTTCTTGAAAATCTCATCTCTTCGATGCTCATGTAAAACTTCTTGATATTTTTTATTATTTTCTTCAATCTTCTTCT